GGGGGGGGGAAAGGAAAGGAAAAAGAATACCTTGGAAGATGTTGCTTGTTAAATTACATTTGAAATGTCAAAATGATAGACATGTCTGGAATATGTGAATAAAATGTGGAAACCGTTCCACCAAATGTTATTAAAAATTGTCCCTTTTCCAGCTGAAGTACAAGATTTTGATAATTTTCTTGTAATCTCTTAAATTTTCAACTAGACACAGAACAGCAACACTTTGTGTCCAATTTCCTAATATTAGACAGTTTCCTTATCTATACTCATTTTATGCACACTTATACAGATTATATTTTGAGTAACACTAGTGTAAGCTTTAAATCATGTTAGGGATATAAATGGTACCACTCCAGGCTTACAGTGATAGCAGGATCAAACCCTTTATATCTTCTGGAAACTGTCTTATTTTTTTTCTTCCTTTCCCCCCCTTTTTTTATTGTGATGATATAGTCTCATCAGTGTTTATATTTTTGAGACAGGAAGCTGATTCTTCACACTTACCATCTCCATCTGAAACCAACTCAAAGAAAATCTATACTGTGGAGCTTGTTAAAGAAGACGGGACTTTTGGAATCAGTGTGACTGCAAGTGTTGCTGTTAATCTTTCAGTGTGTCTGTCAAACTGTTAGATGACCAAGAAACACATAGGGAAGTGTATTTATGTGGAACAAAGATAGAAAACAGACCGATAGCAAAAACTGTTATCATGTCAGGTTTCAGACTTAAGTGTCCAATTGACTGACAGAAAAAGCATAAAGTACTGACTCTGCTGGTTCCCCAGTTCTTGTCCACAGAGGCTGTGAAAGAAATGTACTGGCATAAAGCAGGTGGCAGTAGAAGTCCTTTTCATCCTTACTCAAGTTGAGAACAAGACCTACCACTGAAAGTGGACCTTGGTCAGGGAGGAATATAGCCCGAGCCTCTAGAAAATGCAGTGATGCAAAGAATTCCCCAAATCATGTCCAGTTTTGCTGCTCCTGGAATTCCAAGGCCGTGTCTGTATGTGCAGATTACACGAGACCATGGCATGGGCTCAAACTGTGGCCCACAGGCACTGTTTAATTGTTGACAGCCACCAATGTAGCTCTGACCTGTGCCTCAACAAGCAGTAGAACAGAAACCATCCTGTGCTGTGGGGCTGAAAGTTCACCTGTATGGACTTAAGATAAAGCATACTTCTTTGAAGACCAGAGAAAGGGCCCTAGCCAAATTTTATTTCGTAATGTAAGGAAATACAGTTGTCCATACAGTTAGAGGACCAGAGAAGGACAATTCCTTGATCTGGCTATCAAAGCTGAATTTATCACTCCAGACTGAAATGTCTTTACAGTCCTTGCTGAAATGGAGTGGGAAGCAACAGCCATTTCATTGCCTGCTGAAGAAATTGGGGGCTGCTTTTTCATCTGAATTTAGCCAGGGGATGTAGATGGACAGAACACGATTCTTAGGTTAATCTGGAATTCCTCTGAGCTGTAGGCTCTCAAGTGGCTGCACAAGCTCAGGTCTATGCTTTATATATTATCTGAAAGGTTAATAATTGCTGGATGGGTACTGTATATTTTGAAAGCTGGGCTAGAGACTGGCAAAGTGCAGGCCCATCTTTATGTTAGCACAGGGAAAAATTTATGAACACTTAGTAAATGTTTTTATATAGCTATGTAGAAATGCACGGCATTTTCCTGAGAAAATAAACCAACATTACTGACTAGGGAAGTATATTACAACTAGATGGGACTTTGGAGTAACATCCTCTTTCCTTTTATTGTTTTATTTAAAAGAAAAAAAAAAGAAAGTAATTCCTGAAGCAGTTGCTTTGCAACACATGCATAAGTTGCTTTGATTTTTATCATAGGAAGAACATGTGAAGACTCCACTTTAATCTGTGGGCATCTGTTTTGCAGGGTGGAATTAACACTAGTGTGCGTCATGGTGGGATATACGTGAAGTCAATTATTCCCAGGGGACCAGCAGATAAGGAAGGACAAATAAAGACAGGTAACGTGTCTGGCAATAAAACTCTGGGCTTCAGAACTCAATGTTAGTGTGGAATGCTTGCTAGAGGGATGATGAAACACATTTGGGATGGAAGGTCATACAGCTGTGAAATGTAATATGCAGTCCATCATTCCTCAGCCTGTCCCTCTACTACATGTAGATATCCCACTGAAAAAACTGGAGCCTCATACCAACATTGTGCAGCTGCAGAGAGTAACTGTATGTTAGGCTAATGCCCCTGACATCTACTTTCAGTGTTGCTGTGATAACCAGATACTATCACTGCATTTGCTTCCAGAATACCCTGGTATGTTTTAAGTGCTAATTATAGAATGCTACTAACAAGCATTATTGCTTTCATACAAAGTAACATAATTTGACACAAGCAAGCATGAAGATCCATTGCAACGTGGGTAGCCTCAAGGGTTACACCTATTGAACCTGAGCATCAAAGCAACTTGACCCCTTTGTTTGTTTGTTTTCTTTTGCCCCAGGTGATCGTCTTCTGGAAGTAGATGGCATCAGCCTCTGTGGCATCACCCACAAACAGGCTGTGGAACACCTTAAGAATTCTGGTCAGGTTTGTACAACAGCAGAGCTCAATAAAACACCTGATACGATACGATGTGCAGTTTATTCTATGAAGCACGGTAGCAAAGCTGGACCAAAAGAAACTTCCCACCTCCACCCCATTCCCCTAAAAAGAGAAGTAAAAAGACTTAGGCCTCACTGTATACTTCATAACTGGAACCTGATCATTATCTTTTTAGGTTGCCAAGCTGGTTCTAGAAAGGGGAAACTACCAATTGGCAGAACCATGCCTGACTGCTAATGACAGAAAGGAGGACCAGTGTGCAGTTGTTTCTGTGGCAACATCCTTCACAGATGGTAACAAGGACTACTGCATTTCGACAGATGGTGAGCGATAAAAAAGGAACTCACGGTGACTTCTTACTATGTGCAAGAAAGGAATGAATGAAAATAATTCTATAACATTTCTGGGAGTTGGAAGGAAAACTGCAATCCGAACAAACATACTACCTGCATTATTAATGGTATTAACAAAAATCAATTCTGAACAAAATACTTCTGACATACTTAGAGTTACAGTTACCAGATATAGGTGAATTTGTCCTAGGCATAAACAGTGTGTCTCTCTGCCTTGCTGAGATGCAGCTGGCAGGTGACATCCCTGTCTGTACTCATAGCGCTCTCAGCAGGAAGCAGCTGTGTTGATGCTGCCAGGCTGTTGCCCAGAGAGCACGGCCAGCACAACTGCTGATGCTGTGTCAGTGATGAAGCTAAGGTGAACTGCTGCCCCAGGGCCAGGACTGGAAACTGCCATAACTTCATTTCTTAAAAGCAGTAGATTCAGAAATCACTTCACCAAATTTAGCCAATAAATAAATGCTGTATCTTTTACTGTAAGGACACTGTCTGAACCATACTTTCCCACACAGCAATTACTCCTCAGCATTTTCCCTAGCAAAGTGAGGTTCAGCTGCAAGTATGGTATTTGAAAAAGGGCTAGTCTCTTGTTCTTGTTTGGACTGATTCTAGCTTTTGTTGGTTAGTGCAGGACCCAAACTAGCATCAGGCAGCTACAGTATAGTGAGATCTACCCAACACTCACAGAAGAATGTCAGAAAAGGATAGCGTCTGAACCTTTTTATGTTGGTACAAAAGGCTTCTTCCTTTACGGGCTGGTACCAGATGGTATAAAGTCTGTGAACACACAGTGGAATAGAAGCTAGTTCTCTCCATTCTGCCTGTGCAATTTCAAGGGCTCACATAAGTTAAAGAAACACCAAATACTTCCTCTCCCATTAGCAGCAGTAGATCTACCCCTGCAGAACACAGGGAAAAGGTCTGCTGAGGGTATAATTAATATCAGCTCCTTGGGGGATACATGTGTCACTGCTCCCACTCTTTTTCCAATCCCTGCTTTGAACAGATAATACATTTGAAGTCAAATTGACAAAGAATTCTGGAGGCCTCGGCTTTAGTGTTCTGCAGATGGAAGGAGATGCTTTTCAACACCTTGGAGGAGCCATTGTCAGGATCAAAAGACTGTTTCCAGGGCAGCCAGCTGAAGAGAATGGTGAAATTGAAGTTGGAGACATCATTTTGGCTGTGAATGGGAAACCTATTCAAGGACTCTTGTATCAGGTAGGAGGCAGTATTGGGCCGCCCAATGGGTAACACGTTAATAAAGACAATGGGATGAAACTGCTTTTAAACTTAATTATCACCAGAGGAAATCAGAATTTGCATTGAAATCTGATATATATTGAATCTGATTTCTATGCAGGATTCCTCTAGATTTCTTATGGAGAATTTCTTTCCTAACAGAATTTTTAGAGAATTTCTTTGGCTATTTAATTTACAACTTTCTGCTACTGATGCACAAAGTCTATTGTCAGATGCACACCAGCTGTTAATTAGTTGAAATTTTGTTGCTATTGTGCATAATTGGAACATTTTTTCCCTGGGGGCATTTGTGCTTTGTAATGTCATGCTAAATACCATGCCCCAGATTCCAGTCTCTTTCAAGTAAGGTAAATCCGGTGCAACTTTTTACCTGGAATGAGCAATTCTATACTCACATGAAGAAATTAAATGGTAAAAAAGGACTACATGTGGATTTATTTTTTCATCGTACTCTTTTCACCTTGTGAAAATCCCTGAGTTTTGTATATGAATATGCCTCAAATAGATAAGATTGATAACAAAGATATTATGTAATCATGCAATTTTCCTACTGACAGGTCATTCATATCACTAAATATCTAGGGCAAAAGACAAGATGCTCTAAGTCCTAGAAACCTGTGGGGGTGTTGTAACTGTACCCCTGTGCATTTTTTTTTCCCCCTGACCTGGAGTCTGTCCTTTTCTAGCACTGTCTTGTGCTCTGTCCTACAGCCTTTTTACTCAGCTTGTGCAGAGGGAAAGACAGGGTGTTTTGGCCTACAGCATTTTTCCTTTTTTTTCCTCCTCTAGAATAAGTATTTCAACTCTCACTGTAGCTGAAAGCTGAGTGCCACTGAATAGATGTTATGTCAAGGAAGGGCTTCAAGAAAGTCTGTGTTTGGTTATGTCAATATGGTAGTTCATGAAGTTATGCTGATACAATTCATTGAGGATGTGTCCCTGCCACACACAGTTTCAATGCATTTTTTTGAAAACCCAGTTTTCTTCAAGAAAAGAAGAATTAATTTAAACCTATGTGTCTGTTGGTGGAACAAGAGTTTGTAAACAGAACTGACTTTACATTAGACACACATTCACATACAAACTACGTTCCACTTGTATGACAATCATACAGTAGTGGATTTTGTCCCCCAGACTCTTCTGAGAGTCACAAATACTAGAAATTTGGCACTGACAATAAAAACTATCTCCATCTCAGCTGGTAAAACGGCATGTACTATAGATTGCATTCCATAAGAAACCTAATATTTGTTCTTCCTGACTAGGATGTCCTGCATTTGTTGCGAGGAGCTCCTCCAGAAGTCACACTACTACTTTGCAGACCACCAAAAGGTGTTCTACCAGAAATAGAGCAGAGTACCCTGGTAAGGCAAAGCTTCTGTCAGTAAACTTGCTTCCATAAACCTGGAAAAACACTACCGTTTTCTACCCAGTCTTGAGCAAGGCAACCTTTCCTTTTCTCCAAGGCCCTTTATTCCACTTCTGTCACTTCCTGGCTTCAACTCAACCTCTAGCGTTGAACTGATTCTTCCAAAATAATAGAAATCTGACAGATGTGAAACATGTTTATTCCAGTCCAACAACTTTTCTAATTGCACTATTGTCATTGGAGTGAAATATCACATAACCAAGGAGATGATCTAGTGAATTAAACAGTAGAGACTGCAAAGACTAAACCAGTGCCATTAGATGTACGGGCATTGTTATTCCTGCTTCTTGAACACAAGTCATGGACACACACACAAGTACTCATAACGAAGATGTCCCACTCATAAATCCTGCAAGGATGGGAACCATAAGTGCTGTCCATGTGCAGACAGAAATGGCTGTCAGGACCATCTACAGATAATAAACTGGCTCTTGTTTCTCTCCTGGAACATGCCCTTGGCTAATTTCTGTGGTCAGTCATATGGGAGTCAAATCTGGCAGCCACTTCTACACAACGAAGAGAATATAGGCAGCGTTGAGGCATGATATGAAAACAAATAAAAAGGGGCCACCTCTAGAAAAGAATTGGCTGTGAAAAGTTAACTTTTATAGTAGTTCCCTGGCTGGAACTTCTGAAGAATGTGGAAGATGAGCATAAAGACAAAACTGTTATTTAGTAAGTGAGCATGTTCCTCTATTATTTCCTTCCCTGAAAGCTACCATTTGATATTTTCACATTCAGAGGCTTATTGGTATTGCCTCTTCAAATTATTTTGTTCTTAAATGAAAGAATATTTGAGATATAAAATAAGTTATATTAATCTTTCTGTTATTTTGATAGACTCCAGCACCATCTCCAATCAAGGAGTTTGTGACAGAAATGCCAGGCAGTACAGAGGTAGGAAATAGTATGGATCAGTCTACCAGTGATGGAGGTAGCACTTCTCCAGACCTTGAAGACTGCCTGGATTCTCCTGTAGCAGCAGATTTCAATGAGCCTCCTGAAGAAGACAGCTCAACTTATGAAGAGCAGGAAGCTGAGTTTCAAGAGAAACACATACAGAAACTTGTGACTCCCAGGAAAAGTTTCTATACATATCTTCGGAAGTTTCACCAAGAAGCTGCCAATTTGGAAGCTTTCCACTCCCTAGAGGAAGAAGTGAAGCAGAACTGCTACTCACCATGTGAATCTGGACATGCTAAAAGGTAAGGAATACTGAAATCTGCTCTGCAGCCTTTCTTCAATTTCTTAGAATTTTGAAAGTGAATTGCTTAGGTTTAAGTACAGGGTTGTCTGCTTCTAATCACTGCTGATTACTGAAGATTTTGCTTTATCATCTTTTTGCTGTTCAGCTGAAGCTGGCTGCAGTTTAAAATAAGTGCAAAGGCTCTTATTCAAACAAATAGGAACCAAAGACTTTCTTATTTATTATATGATCTTTTAATTTCAGGTTTTCTCAGAGTTGGCTTAAATAAGCACCAAAAGTTTATTTCTTATTGTATGATCTTTTAATTTCAAATTTTTTTCAGAGAAAATAATAATTTAAAAAAAAGCTTAGAAGAAAAACTATGATCAAGAAGTAAAAAAGAAAGAAAAAAAAATTGTTCTCTGGTCTTCAGAAGCCAACAGAAGCCTTCAGACAGAGGAGTCATAGAATAAAACGCAGTGTGAATGGCCTCTCCTTTTACACTTTTTTGGATATACCAGACATTGGCACACAGAAAAAATCCATTCGATTTTACTCGTCTTTCCCAGTGCAAAAGTATATAAATTATCAAACCAGAAATGATTGGTGGAAAGACAAGTTAAAGGTCTTCTAGAGACCTTTAACTTACAACTTTAATAATTTTATCTAGAAAAAAAATTTCTATTTTTCCACACAGTGACTGAAAGTCCTTTTGTTTCTCTTGACATTCATCAAGCACAAGACCAGACAGATTCCAGTCTCTGGGGAGTCACAGCACTAGCAGAATGTGAGTCAAGTGGGACCATAATGGCAACTGATAGTTTTAGCTCCTCTCTCTTGACAGTAGAAGCTTCACTCACATTCATCAGTGAAGCTCCTGCTTACATATATGCTTCTCTACTGCAGAGAACAAAACCAGCAGAAATGCATCTGTAGCAGACATTTGCCAATAGATGCAGCTTCAACAAAATGAAGTTTCTTATGGGAAAATATGAAGTCCAAGAAAAGTTTTGGATTCTTCCCAAGAAGGAAGTTGAAATAAATGGTTTTTTGTTTGGAACATCCTTCGTATCACTTAGTTCCAGCTTTCGCTTTTTAAAAACGCAGCCAGAGCAGTTTAAGACAACATGTACTTTAAACAATATTTTAAATGTAATCTCATTTTAAATGATACTTCCACCTAAAAACATATAAACATTTCCAGAAGGACCCTAGACATTAATGAAGGAATTCCTTTTGATTAAAGAAGAAATTTCTTTTCTTCAGATTGCTCAAAACTTTTCATGCAAATGTAGAAATCATCTGCTATGAATTTTAAAAGTTCTCTGCTCAGTATTTCATATGGAAAGTTCCTTTCACTCTTCTCATTGCCATAAATAAGGATCTCTGAAAAAGCTGCTCTGAAAAACTTAAACCCATATTTTTCACCTGTGAAGTCCAGGTGTACAGGTCATAAGACTCCAAAAGAAAGTTGAGCACAACAGTGGAGCTCACATATGGGCCTGCAGGACCAAGACTCATGTTATTTCCCATGGTGACATAGAGGTGGGCTAGAGGCTTAAAAATACTTAAAAATAAGTGCTTCATGCATTTGTATTAGCTTTAATGGTAAATGTAATGTGGGACAATTCTCTATCTGCCTATTAGAATTCATTAATGACAACAGCCAAAACAATATTAAACATGACACTTACAGTCTGACCTTGATTATTAAAGTGCTGAATACTGTGTCTGCAACATAGTGGGATAAAATCCATAATAATTTTAATTCAACTTACTGAATCCATTGATTTCAATAGGACAACTCTCATGCTTCAAGACAAGCATAAGAATAAAAGCAGGCTTACAATGAAGAGTCAGGACTTGTACATTTTATGGAAAGACAGGGATCATTCCATGTTTCTGGTCTGTGCTCTAGTTACAGAAGAAAGCATTGTAGCAGCCAGGAATGTGGCTGGCATTCCTTTTTCAAGAAAAATGCAAATATGAAAATTGCAGTAGTATTGTAATGTGCATACCACTTACCAGATAAGTTAATTAAGTTGCTTATGGCAGATTAAATAATTAGCGGTCTATGAAATGTCCAATTATTATTTTCAAGAAGAAACCAAAGTATTAATAATGCCTTAAAAAAAAGAGTGCAAGATTTTGCAAAGGCTCAAATTCTGAAAGAATTTAAATCTTTTAACTAGCTTCACAAAATATTGATTCCTCATTTATTTTTATAGTTACACTGGAGGACCCAATAGAAATTTAATACCATAACTAGTGCTTTGGTTAAAATTAAGCTTGTGTATCAGCAGTAGACTTTTCAGTGGCCATCTAATAAGGCATATGGAGGAAAACCCCAGAACTGCAATCTTTTTATTTTCCAGCCACATATTTAATAAGAGTGATGATGACCTATCGAACACAAAATGTATGCCTGAAACTCTCTCTCTAACCCCTATTGATGAAGAGTATCTCACTATCAGCTCAACGTCTGTGACCTCACTTCCACGGGGAGGAAGCACTGAGACACTGTCCACAACCATGGTGACCCCACAACCACTTGTTTCTGGTTCTTTCTCATCATCCCTGCCTGCTAGAGACACATGCGACAGTGACAATGAATGGGAAGACTTGGAGGAAGTAGAGGAAAAGAAGGAAGAAAAAGAAGATTGCACTAGGGTATGTAAAAGGCACCAGATTATTAACAGGTAGAATACATCAAGGCAAAAAGAAGCAACTTGAAGAATGCAACATTCATAAACATCCATTTTAACTAATTATCTATGCTATTTCTGCATGGCTTTTTTTTTTTACTGTCCTGAATACCCACAATCTTCAAGTAAAGCAGTCCTTCTTCTATGCCCAGGTCTACAGAATTCTTTAACATTGCCTTGTAATTTCCAATTTACTAATTCTTGATCTTTCCAGGATGCTGCAGGATTATTCCCAGTGTAAAAAGGCCTAAAAGCCTTCTATAGCCTCTAAAATTAGTCAGCTACTTGGATTTTTTTCTGTCATATTTTAAACTCATGTGGAAAATCACTTTGTTACAGTGATACTCCTGTAATGTCCCGATAAGAAAGTATGATCTTTGTGCTAATTACTATTCAAAATATAGGGCGCAGTCCTGCCAAATGCTGAACATCTTGTATTCCAGCTGACACTAATGAGCTCTGATTTCGTACTACTAATCTGAGAACACAAAGGACAAAATTTAGGTCCAGCCATTTCCTCCAGTGGGACAGCAACAGCAATAACAATATTAATCTGCACCCTCTATTGCAGTGCTTGTCTTCACACAGCTCAAAGGCCAAAATTCCAGTCCCTCAGGGCATTCTCTGCCTTATTAGGCCCTATCAGTCAATCACCATAAAGCTCCACCAGGTAAAAAGGAATTAAAATTAATTCTGGAGTAAGGCAGTGGCAGATCAGAGAAACCCTTATGTATGCTCTTGTTTATACCATCCGAGGATGTGATTCCTACCTGCATATAAAACATAACGGAAGATGCTAATGAAGCAACAGAAAAGCCTACATCAAATCTATCTTGTGCTTATTTTAATAGGAAATGGAGATCTTTGTGACTTTGACAAAGTCAGAGAACAATGGTTATGGATTCTCTGTAGTTCTTAACAAAGTGGACAACTGCCTGTATGTTGATGAAATCTTGAATAAGCCTGCCCTGTCTGATGGGAGATTAAGAAGGGGAGACAGAATCATTATGGTACAGTAATCCTTTGAGTTTATACAGATGAGAGAATATGTGCAGTTCAATGCCATTTAGCTTTGGTATTCTTCCTTCAATCGCATCCAGTTTATCATATACTTAGGCCTGCAAGTGCAAATGGATACTATAATAAATGCAAATCTGCTGGCTTCCACAGGACAAATTTCAGAACGAATATATGATCAGGCAGATAACATGGATCATCTTGCAACACAGCAAGCCAACTGAGACATGCCTTCCCAGTTAAATGGCATGAACTGAACTAATATAATAACATAGGTGACGTACAAAGGAAACAGGAGGCCTTTTCAGTGGTGAATAAAGCCTTTTTTTTAGCCTAGTTAATGTTCAATTTCTTGTATTAGGCTGCCTTCCTTGTTTTTTTTGCTGCAAGGTCTTGAGTTTCAAGAAAACCCCAAACAAACAGAAACCCCCCTATTTTTGAGAACTCTGCATTCAGAAAAATAAAAGTTCAATTTTAACTGTTGCATTCACTGATATTAAATACCACAGCAAAGCAATAACACGAAAGTGAAAACTTATTCAAGTTCATTTGCAAAATTTAGAGTGGAGGGAAAAGTACATAATGGTCAATGAGATATATGACATCATTTTACCATTTTGTCATTTAGGTGAATGGAATTGACATCACATCTTTACCATGCAACGAAGCCCTGACTTTACTGCAAAGCTCTCCTCCTGATTTGCATCTTGTGGTTGGTCGGACTGACTGTGATCCGCGTCTCTCTATTAGGCCAGATGAGATTCCCGAAATTACTCTTACAAAAGGTGCCAATGGACAGTTAGGTGTGTAGTAAATACTACATACTATTTTGGACAGAGATTAAAGCAATCATATGATAATCGTAAGCAACTGTGGTCTTGGATCAATGTGATCTTGAGTGACATTGACACTCCTCCAACACCCATGACCAAGGAAGAGAGCACTTTATTTAGGGCAAGGCCTTAAAGGGAAGACTACAATCTCTTTATTGGACTAAAGAAGATAGGCATTATCACCCTATCAGCTGAAGTTTCTGGCAGATGTCCAGTCTCATATTTTTAAATGTTACTAATATACAGAACTTGGTAGTTAGATAATAATGTATACTACCTGCTGAGGTACATAAAGATCTATTTGGAGGGAAAAAAAAAAAAAAAAAGGAAAAGCAAGGCAAAGTTTAAGAAGTATGAGCCGCTAGTTAAGGCAATACTTTGCTATTCAAAAATCTCCACTCAAATCCTTGATTCACCACAGACAAAAGGCTCTATCTACATTGGGCAATACAAGTGATAAAAGAAATCCCCACAGCGTGAGTATCTTGGTATTTCTGCAGAATGTGGCGAGTACTGCACACAGATAAACCTATAGACCCAGGAAACAGTATATCTATATTTGCTCAGGTACAGCACCCTATTTCCAGTTCAGAAACTAGCTTGTTCAGAGATTGCTTGAATATGGTTGCACAAACTGTTTTGCAGAGTTGTCTCCGTAGTTGCCACATGCCCTTGTTTCCCTATGTTACTTTAAAGGTTGCAAGGCACTTCAGCACTCTGGTAACGAAGGAGTTACTGCTATGCAGCTAAATGTCTTATTCAAATAACTATTTAACATAAGGTGAAATAAAGCACTATGGGATAACTGAATCCTAGAGATGGACAATACCATTTAAGTTTTTTCCTTATTTTTTTTTAATAGCTAATTGCATTTCACTCTCCCGGTCCAACTTTTCTACCCCATCTTACCAGGGCAAGACTGTTGTTTATAATGCTGGTGATTTGATCAGCCTATCTTTCAATGACCCACATCTTTCCATTAGGCTGTATGTCACTGACAGTGAAATTCAAAACACGCTCCCACAAAAGATGCTTTTTCTGCACTATTCTAGGCTTGAAGCTGACAGGAGGAGCTGGAAGCAATTTACAAGGTATTTATGTGCTAGAGATAGTGCCTGGCTCTCCTGCCAGTGTGGAAGGCAGTTTGCAGCCACGAGATCAGATTATTTACATCTGTGGACTGTGGACTGAGGGCATTAGCCTGGATGATGCAGTGAGAGTGTGTGAAGCTGCCACCCAGAATGTCCAAATCAAAGCCACAAGGTAAATCTGAGCTGACAAGGTAACTCTGAGCATACTCAATCTCAATCCTACTATTAAAGCAGGTTTCTAAATTTTACATCAAGTCAAACAATAAAAACAAGACTAACGACAAGAAAAATACTTTTCCTCAAAGGTCTGAACATTGCAACCTGATATGTAACATCCGCAAGATGTCTTAACTCCTTGTAACTACAATTAACGCAGTGAATACACATAGACTCGTATGACACAAATGTGAACTCTTCAGACTTGATCATCCAAACACAAACATCAATCCTTTAACTGTGAGGCTGGCCACCATTTTCAGACATCCTGTCCTCCAGGGAACAACATCTTTATATTTCCACCACTAGTGCTAAACTTCCCCATACCTACTCAGATTCAAAACTACAGGCAAGAAACTACTGCTCATGGGAAACCCTCAGTTATTTCCAACAGTCAAATGTTTTAGAAAGGTGTTAAAAATGCATTAAATGTTATTTAATCTGCAGAAAGTCAAGAATTTCCCTGATCAGTTCTTGGCTGCACTTCAGACTTACTGTGTCCTACAGTCTGATAGAGCATCAGCAGAGGTCCTGGACTAACATAGAAATAGCTTCCAAAGATCTCAGAGGAACAGTCAAATAGTAACCCAAAAGCGTGTGAATGACTAAGCTATAGAGCCAGAGTTAGCAATCGTGTATCTGTCACAGCTGCAGTTTAAACTTCTATCAACATTTTATTAGCTTGCACAGGGCTAGCAGATGAAGAAACTGCAGATTCATTATAATTCTTGCTGTACATGCAGTTAGTAGGCAACACACCCTGATCATCAGAACTTAGAATCTAAGGAAACAAACAGAAATAAAGGACATACAAAAGATCATTCCCACATCAGAGGGGAAATTGAAGCTGAATTCTGTTCTGTATTGGGATAGATGGTTTAACATGTTCTTTCTTTCCCCAACCCATTTAAATAAAATGTTTCACTGTTGTTAAATAGTTAGATAGTGATGCAAATTGTTTTTAGGAAAGCATCATTAACAAAAACATAGATGTAAAACTACAATTTAGACATCTTTCTAGAAATATTTTTCCTATGTGCTTCACAAAGCGTGCAGCTCTTAATGGTTCATGTATTTCACTTTTTCTGCCCCCAGAAATGGCAATCCAGTGGTTCCTATAGAGCAGGAAAATAGTAAGTAAGGCTAATATCAAAGCTTTTCAGTTCAAAATTTGCTTGTGATTTTGGAAATAATTTGTAACCTGTCATTAGTATTTCTGTTACAGCCATTCTAAGGGGCTGAAGAAAATTTGGAAACTCCTTAAAAATAGAAATAAGACATATAGTTCTGTGTAAAGATATTATTTAGGTAAAATGATTATTTATAGCATTTTGCATTGTCAGTCTCTATTTTTTTTAATTTGTTGCTATTAAATGGGAATTTTATATGGTCGTATTTCAACATCTGTTTTGATTGAAACTATTCTCTAAGGGTTTTTCCAGAACTTTTTGAGCCACAACATCATCCAAACTGTTATCAATAAATCTATAGAAACACAGAAGTGGGCAGCAATAATATCCCTTAGTTAATACAGAACATTCTTATCAGGAGACCATATTTAATACTATAACTGACACAAAACTTCAGTAGCCATCTGCCTACAAAGACTTGACCAGAATTGGTCTAGCATTATAAGGAGTCTCAGCAAGCAGAGGTTGCATCTGCACTATCAGGTGGAAGGATAGGTATCACACCTATGTCACTGTGTAGAAAGTGTGTTATCTATGCAAATAATAATTTCGAGCGTGCATTTGGACTTAAACGGAGCATACGTGGAGTTAAATCCATTGGCAGACAGTTACAAATGGTGTTCCCCAAGGCTCAGTACCGGTGCCAGTTCTCTTTAACATCTTTATCAATGATCTAGACAAGGGGATCAAGTGCACTCTCAGTAAGTTTGCAGACAAGATCAAATTGGGCTGGAGTGTTGGTCTGCCTGATGGTAGGAAGGCTCTACAGCAGGATCTGGACAAGCTGGATCAACAGGCTGAGGTTCAACACGGTTAAGGGCCAGGTCCTGCACTTGGGTCACAACCACCCCAGCAATGCTACAGGCTTTGGGAAAGGTGGCTGGAAAGATGCCCAGTGGAAAAGGACCTAGGGGTGTTGGTCAACATTGGCTGAATATGAGCTGGCAGTGTGCCCAGGTGGCCAAGAAGGCCAGCAGCATCCTGGCCTTCATCAGGAAGAGTGTGGTCAGCAGGGCTGGGGAAGTTATTGCCCACCTGTACTCGGCACTGGTGAGGCTGCACCTCAAATCCTGTGTTCAGTTTTGGGTCCCTTACCTACAAGAGAGATGTTGAGGTTCTGTAGCGTGTCCAAAGAAGGGTAACAGAGATGGTGAAGGGTCTAGAGAACAAGTTCTGTGACGAGCAGCTGAGGGAGCTGGGGTTGTTTAGCCTGGAGAAGAGGAGGCTCAGGGGAGACCTTATTGGTCTCTACAACTACCTGAAGAGATGTTAAAAAAAGGTGGGTGTTGACCTTTTTTCCCAAGTGACAAGTGATAGGACAAGAGGAAAAGGCCTCAATGTGTGCCAAGGGAGGTATAGGTTGGATATTAGGAAAAGTTTCTTCGCTTTCAGTGAAGGGTTACCAGGCATTGGAACAGGCTGCCCAGGGAGGTGGTTGAGTCACCATCCCTGGAAGCATTTAAAAGATGTGGTATCTAGGTATATGGTTTAGTGGTGGACTTGGCAGTACTAGATTAACAGATGGACTTAATCTTAAAGGTCTTTTCCAACCTACACAATTCTACGATTTGGCTGGAGTGTTAATTCAGGCCTAACCCACAATTTCATTTACCTGACTGGATATCTAATTTTTTTAAATCATGCAGAGATGACCTGAATAATTAAAACCCTGGACCAGAATTGCTCATATGCCTATACTCATTTGAATACTGGCATATGGCTACCTGAAGAAATTATTCCAAGTCAAGCTAGTTACAGATTTCCTACTCTCTAACAACTAGCCATGTGTGGGTTTGTTTTGTTTCTCTGTTTGCTTTTTTAAACTGAAGAGCATATTTCACTTACTGAAGAACAAGCTTCTTTTAATTTACTGCAAGATGCTAATAAAGTTCTGTGTACTCTGAATTACTGTGGTATAACTAAAGCATGGTAAACGCGTACCCTGGTAGGACCTTGCTTACACATCATTGCTCCATGAGCTTTGTAATTTTCAAGATTTCTCAAGACACCTTCAAAATAGGTTACCAGGTCTGATCCACCTCTGATGCAGATTTATGAACTATACAATGATATAGTTACCTGCCACTCTTATAATACAAGATTCTTCCCTTTTATAAGGTACTTAAAAAAAATCTGTAGTAATTTCATATTGGGCATTCTGTTTGCTATCATTTCTGATAGATTAATAGATAACTTTATAATAATTTGCTATTAAAGAAGCAAACTTCATTTTTTAGATTCTCTTAGTTACAAAATGCAACAGAGGCATTCAGGGTTTTGGTGTGGGGGGGGGTTTGTTGTGTTGGTTTTTTTTTTTTGGGTGGGTGTTGTTTATTTTTTTGTTTTAGAAAACAACAGAACATTCATGATATTCTATAATTCATACATTGAGTACTTTGTGGAAGCCAACTAAAATCACCAAGATATGATAAAGCAAAACCCCAAAACTGGGGGTGGGAGTGTCAAAAACCACATTGTCTTCTTACATATCTATCTCTGCAGACACTAACACACCCTGCTCCTTCCTCTGCCTGATCATTGCCACATGTCTGGAGTGACTCAGTCTGATCTCTGATTGATTTTACAATTTTAAAAATAGCAATGACTGAGATGCAGTATCTCTGCAATTCATGACAAAATTGTTTCTATCATTGTGTAAAGTGGCAAACTTAATCATACAGTAGTAAGCATCTCATACTCTTTCATATAGTAATGTTATTGGATATCAATGCTTTTTTAAATAATCTAAAAACAGAGTTTACATTCCCTTGTGTATATGAAGATTAGCAGGAGGCCTGTCAGAACAAACCTACATGTATGCTTTTAGGGCCACCTGCTGAGTCAGCGAAAGCCAATATTTCTTTCTCAAATGAAAGCCTGAATTCCCAAGAACAGCATCTGCCGCATCAACATGGTAAGGAACTTCATATTTTTCAATTAGAGTTTGTAAAATTTTGTGCACTCTCTTTGAAAGAAAGGAAGTCTTTGGATGGTACTAACAGCACCTGGGAATGATTAATTCTTCATAAACAAGACTGTCTCCCCCAGAGTTTCAAAGAACATTTCTAGATTACTTGTTGTCCATCCACTTACACTGATCCTGTAACAGGCAGTGTTTAAAGTTTGGTTTGGATTCTAATCACTGGGAAGTAAAAAGTCTGCAGGGATAAAGCACAGGAGGCTCACTTCACAGTTCTGGAGTGTAATCCCACATAAGTCACAGGAATGTTTTTGTGTTTTAGATGTTAAACATAAAATATTTAATTACATCTCTGAATATTATTTTGAATGTTATATTACAGAACATGGTACACAGTGTTTTACAACTGTGTAAAACCCGGTTGGTGTTTTTTCCACAGAGAAACACTTGGAGAAAACAAACCGTGGTGCCCAGCAAAACACTCCCGATTCTCCAGAATGTAAGGTAAGTCACAATTTTATCAAGTGCAAGACAGTCCATTAAGTAAGCTATACAGAGATTTTTTTGGTTTGTTTTTAGTAGTGGTATTTCATGTATTTGCTTCCTCTCCATTTTCTTTGACAATGCAAATATATAACATTTGGAGACTGTACTGTGAAGTGTTGAATTGCTTCAGCATTCATGGACTAGAATGTGTTGAGCATTTTCTGGGGTCAGACTCTTCTATTTCTGTTTTTAAGTGTATAATATCACTATTTTACCAGCTTGGTAATATAAAGCATGACTCTCATTATGTAGCCACTCCATTAAGTGTTCATAGTACTTTTAACATAGTACTTTTAACAATTTACAAGATTAATCCCTAGCTTAGAAAGAAAGTAGCACAGGAAAAGATAGAGAATGTCATAGCATGGGATTCTGGGGAAAGTAAGTGTAATTGTAATTGTGAAGCATTTTCCACAACAATCTTTGTAACCTAAGATCAATGTTTCATTTGGAAATTCTCAGATGGGGCATATGAAAAGAGGTTAAAATTACTCCAAATCTTTGAAATATTATACAGCATTAACATAATCCATAAAGTTTTAAATTTTGCAAGAGTAACACCATTTTTGAAACAACAAATTCGTAAAATAAACAGGTGTGTTCCTTAAAAAAAAAAAAGTAATTTCCATGTTCAACATACAACAATTCAAAATTCTTACAAGTTCAAACATCACTTCTGTTTGTGCAAATGAGGGAAAAACCAAACATAACTTGCAATTGAAATTACCCATATTGGGACTGATATTTCATAGGAATAGATTTACTAGTTTTTCTCCTGGTTGTGGTTTGCAAAAAAGGTCTGTCGTTAAAATTAGACCTCCAACCTGGCAGAAAAAATAGAACAATTTTCTCAGTTTTGATTAAGCCATCACTATTACTGCTTCTTCCACACCATTTAATCCATAATGGCTTATCTGTTTAATTTGCTAAAATAATTTCTGGGGATGATATTTGCAACACTGGAACTATTCATGCTGCAAGTCATAAACATTTCTAGGTTAATGTTATTTCTGACATAATACTTGACCCTAAAAAAGCAGCTGATTTAAAAACTGTATGAAGTGCTAAAGCTAAGCAGATGGGTATGTCGGGGTTGTAAGGTTGAGTTTTTCATTATAGAACAATAAAAGAATAGATTATGTACTGTGTTACTGTCATGCTGGAGATAAGAATGACTTGTTTGTCAGTGAGGGTAATGTATTTGATATATTATAAAAGGATTACAAAACTACGTTTCCTTGTTCTTAAGATTTTATTTTCACCTCCAGCAGTTATTAAAAAAGATTATGGAAATAAGTATGTACTGTTTTCATTCTGATACATATATGCAGCTGCTATGTTAATCACTGGAAGCTCTATACACCTATTCAAGAGAAGGATATATCTTATAATCTACATCAGCCAGTGAGGACTGTGAAGCATAATGGGAATCTTTGATATTAAAAATGCAAACAAAACACAGCCCTGAGTAAATTCCACTTTAGACTGCATCCTTTTCTATTGTAGGACTTCATTATTAAGATTGAGCTGGAAAAAGCAGAAAATGGAAGCCTAGGATTTGCACTGGTAGGTGGAAGAAATGGCAGGGCTATCCTAATAAAAGCCATCAGCCCAGACAGCATTGCAGATCTAGATGGGAGGCTTCAGGTTGGTGATATCCTACTTAAGGTAATTTTTGTTCCTCATTGTTTTGGCCTACATTTTCTCTAGTTACTCTATAATGAGCATTCTGTTCAATGTAAAAGTTGTGCAGATTGGAAATCTTAGGCTGCTTGGCACAGTAACACGTAGAAGACACTGTCCCTCAGCTACAGGGGGTCAGAGAGCTCTTCTGTGCACCCCCTATCCCTTGCCTAGAGTTCACCTTCCTGGGGGACTGGGCCTCTCTACAGCTGGAAGGGGGTTGTTGGGTGCTCCAGCAGAGAAGTACACCCAGAATAACAGGGCAAGCAGCAGAGTGCAAGTGGTCCATAATGTAAGTGTGCCCAGTGAGGATTACATGGCCAGGTGGGTGGAATCAGCAGAACAGGAGTTAGCTCACCAAGCATGCATATAACAGCTAACCAGGAGGATATGGCGAGGAACCTATCATTAGTGCCAGTTAGGTATTATCAAGACAAGACCACTGGAATTGGAGTTTTTTAATCTTTATTTCAAATCTTAATATCTTAACCACCTTTTAACATAAACAATTTCTTTTTACTCTAAATTATTTTTTCTTCCCCCTCCAGGAGTTTCAATATTTTTGTTTGCTTTTCTATTTTTTATTTACTTTCATCTCTCTGCTGTATTCTGCCTGAAGAGAGAGAGAAACAATGTCCTCTTAGTGTCTCAGAAGAGATGCAGACTATACTTTTGTGGTGTACTGCTGGCAACTACGGTATAAAGACATAGAGAGGAGATGATACAGCATGTTTCTAAAATGGGAGGGGATGAGGACACATGTTGTACAAAGAAGTTATAGACAGATCACTCAGTGTTGAGATATGTGATTAAAAAGAGCTTTCAGAGGAATCTGGAAGTATGTATCATGTATTTTTCAGGTGAATGAAACTTTTGTGTCTGGTCTACCACGTCAAACAGTTATAGATTTGCTGCGCAAGGCTCAAGGCACCGTTCAACTCACTGTCTGCCGAAGCATGGCTTTGCATTGGGCTTATTCAGGCAATCAGAGCAACAGTACATCTTCCTCCTCAAACACAAAAGCAGGGCCTGGTAAGCAGCCACATCCACTCAGTAGGTGATAAAAGTGGGATTGTGTTTCCTGAATTCAACTTGTCTTATTAGTAAAACAACTCAATATTACTACCTTTACAGTTACTCCTGATTCAGAGCTGTAGATACAAATACATTTTTCACCCTGATCTACGGCTCTAGCTAAGCTACTCAGACAGGACCACAGGGAAGGAACACCCCAGTATGATATTTAAATCTAGAAATAGTGGAAGAAAAACCACAAGACCCTCAAAGATGCTTTAACTCTGTTTATGTTTTTAAGTCGGAAGGTTGCTGATCTAATTTTACCCAATTTTATACAACTCATTGATGTAATCCCAGCCAATTACTTATCCAGCTGCTAAGACACATTTCCCACAAATTTCCATCCATCACTCCTACCTTATCTCTATGAAGTACTACACCTCCTTTTCTGCCTGGCAGGCAGCTCCTCTCCTTTCTGTGCTTGTTCACCTTCCAGTCCAGAAGACTGCTCTCAAGTTGATTGCTATTAACTTAAGATCATGCCCACCAGTATAGTACTTAGAGAGCTGACTAATTCTAATGGAAGAAACCTGTGCTGCAGGCTCTGCTCTACTACATACTCAAAATTTCAGTACTACTTAAAGCTGGGATTGGAATCAAGGGCCTATTACCATCAATAGATCATGGGTTTACATTCCTCAACTTTCTATTTTTTGAACACTGAAATGTTTCCTATAATTGGGGAAACATAAATGGAAAGAATACAGAATTCCTCCTTAATATACCTTCCTGTCTGCTGGTTACATGTTGGAGGCTTTTCTTTAAACCTTCTCAGGCAAGAAGCCACTACCATTGTTATTTGCTTTCTCCCCATTTGACTAGGGAGAGATGCAAAGCTGACTGTGGGTTTTGGACATATTTTACAGCAAACATTTATGCATCTGTTCAGGTTTACTGATGTAAATTTACCTGCATAGGTATTTTAGGCAATTATGCTGTTAGGCAGCAGCTGTCTCTAGAGTTAGAAGATCTCAGTTTTTTCAGTACCTCTTAGAATGAAGCTCATCCTCTTGAAGTCATGGCCTGTGTCTTAAGAACTGGACACTCCTTCACCTACTGGAAGTTAACCTGTGTATATCCAGAACAAAGCTTTTCCATAAAGATGAGAAAACTTGTCTCAGCACTGGCCTGGGAGGAGGATGTTCACTGACTCATCTTTATTCTAGTTTAATTTTGGGTGTTAATGATTAAAAAAAAAAAAAAAAAAGGAAGATGGCCAGTTATTAAAAGGTTGATTGAAGCTCTTCCCTTATTAAGGGCTGTGGAAATATTTCCATTCACTTGAGTGAGACTAGCCTTTTCTATAGTTCTGCAAATTTAAATAACAAACTTCAGGGACGTTTATTTGCATCTCACGTGACATTAGTGAATTACACAGTTGCTGGAAAATTTAAACTGTTTTCCTGGACCAGCAAAACCCAGCGGTATTACAGAAACACTGGCATCAGAGTTAAGCTATGGTATTTGTCCCTTAGCACTGCAAAGGAATGGGCTGTGTTAGAGAGGGAAAATTTAAATTCTGTTTCAAGTTTTATAACTGCTACTGAGAGAGGGGTCTACTTCAGTGTATCTTCTGGCAACCTGAATTATGCTGGCTGCTTCAGTGGTGATTTATGGCATTTATGCTGTACTAACCCTCTCCGAGCACCCATGAAAGGGATATTACATGCCAGTTTCTGGCACTGTATCTCAGTGCCTCTTCCAAGGTCCAAGTCCTCTGTTGAGGGTGGCAAAAGAAATGGATCTATATCTTCATGCTTTATAGGCATTTTACTTTGATTTTGTTTTCTGGTATTCAGACAGTGCTGAGGAAAATCTGAGAGCTCAGCCTGTTTTCACTTTCAAGGAAGAAGAAGAATCCAACCACATGTGCCCCAAGGTAAAATCTGAACCATGCTACTAGAAATTGTCAGGCAATGTACTCCTATGTTTGTTTATAAAAAATGGGTTTGCTGCAGTGCAGACAGGAACCATGCCTTCTTAATGAAAAAAGATTAATGTGGGGGAAGGATGCTGCAATGACTGGAACTGCTAACATGAATGAGTTGGGATTCCACTGAGGTAAGAGCATGTGATGAGTATATAAGCTAAAAGGGTAGAGGGAAGGAAGGCTGCATATGCAAGTATAGTTCTGGTGCTTTATGATATTGGGATAAATGATTTATTAATTTTACCATTCTTTCACTATTTTAAAACAATATACTTTATAAGATTTCTATTCAACAGTCTTCCATTAATAGTCATAACACCAAGGCACCCAAACTTCTTTAAACCTGGTTATATTCCGAAACACAGTAAGACCTGCAAGACATTCCCCATCAAATTTTACAGCATCTATTATTTCCAAGTTTAAAACTGTAAAACTTCACATCCTAAAATGTGAAAAATATGTCACCTTATTCTCCAGAACAAATTAAAAAATCAAACTTTGCCTCAACCAATATAATAAATCTAGAAAAAGCAGAATGGAACAAAGTCTTGATGTAAATGAGCTGAGAAAACTTTGAAGAGGAGTTTCTTTGATGAAGGTTTAAATACACGGTTGGAATGAGTGTTGGAACTAAACTATTAGAGATTGATGAAACATAATATCAAAACAAGGCCATGTCCATAATCTTACAAAAAAGTACACCCAAGAAATAATAACAATGAGAAGTAAGAGATAGTACTAAGCTCACAAGTTCCTTATTAGATTCCTGAGATAGCAAGGTATTAAGGCACAAATTTAATTTTAATCATGTAGTTACATCTATATAGTTCAGCACAGCACGTGCCTAACTTTAAGCACATGCTAAAATTTTTTACTGAATTGGTTCCATTAACTCTTTCTTCTTCATTATATCCAGCTTGCCTTTAGCTGTCTCCTATGAATAGAAAGTATTTATGCTTTGCTTTGTAGAGCACAGCTGCCATCTACTCCAAAGATGTAGACTTTGAAAACAACATGCTACTGAAAAAAAAAAGGCTGCAAAAAAGCAGCAATAAAACACCTTTCCTTGGCACACAGAAAACAAAAATCCATATAGCATTCTCCAATGAGTGTAGTCTGTAGGTGAAAAAAAAATGGTTAAATGAATTCATGATTAAATAGACAGCCACAAATTCCCCTATTCTAATAGGAAAATACAAGAACAAAAGTAAGAAAATAAGGTATATGTGGCAGATACCGTTAAGATTCTGTAGGGCATTCAGTAGTTTATACTGTGTAACATGCCAAGGTTGTTTCTGAGTGCAGCTGGAATATTAAGCAGGAAAGAAGAAGAAACACCACTCTGAACTAAAATTGAAATAATTATATTTAAATAATTATCTATTAAGTGTTACAACTGAGAACGAGCCACTTCCACATACTAACGGCATCATTATTTAAATGCAGGACGTCCTGCATCATTATTTAAATGCAGGACACAGTTGTTATTCTCTGGGATGAAAAATAAAGCCACCAGTACTATTGCTTCTACTGCATATGGAGGGTGATCAAGGGTCTGCCTTCTGTTAGTTGAGTGCTTCTTCAGTAGAGCAGCTGCACTCTGCTTCTAACAGCTGTCATTGCTGTGTCTGACATTACAAAAGGAATTGCATTTTCTGTGATTGTACAATACTGTGATTGTATTTTCTTTATGAAATCAGAGAGGATATAACTAACATGAACCTTTTCAAAGTTTAGTCATGCTTGCTAAGTTGTAGAAATGTCTGAAGACTGTATTGTTATGAAACTCACAAGTACAGCCGATATGGCTTTTTACTCCTGGTAGATACTGCAATGCTGAATAAAAGTTACATGTTTTCCTTTGCAAATGGAAACTACTATATTTTCCCTTTCATTTATTAGTAAAGGACACATTTTTGTCAGATCTAAGAAAGAATCTTGATGAAAGTAACTATATTCTTGACATTGTGCACTGATTTTTCACACCTTTTAAACCTGCAGGATCCAGAAAATACACACAATTCCCCTCAACAAGGTCAGCTGGCTGGACAAGACTCTAAGGATATCATCAGTAACATTTCAAACAGGTAAGTCTTTCAAATGCAGTAAAACTATTCAAATAGTATGGATAATTTATTCTTATATTTCCAGACCTGTCCTAATATCGTATGAAAACGCACCCATGTGTCCCAAAAGGTAGAAATACAGTCCTATTGGAATGCAGTTCCGTCGTCAGTAAGAGTTGCTGAACAGCTTCCATGCAAATAGTAAGACAAATGAAATGGAAGCATCTAGGTGTAAGAGCTCATGCAGAGGTGCCTGAGCTAGCTTTAGCCATTTTTGCTGAGGAGAGAACAGTGGTAGCCCTAACACATCGGTGTAGGCAGGGTCCCTGTGGGTTTTACCAAGTGTTCCAAGCAGATCTGGCAGCCTGGGCTAGACCCTGTGCTGCTACGGCTGCCACTACAGATGCTGAACTGCAGACATCTGAGAATCAAGAGAATTTGAGGATGTTACTCCAAAGAAAGTACATAGTACAGGAAGAGTTTTTCTTCAAATTTTAAATCTACAATACAATGGGAAATCAAATAATAATAGAATGTGGTAAGACATGGGCAGTTTTGTCTATTACAATGATGTAGAATGTATGACATACGATTATTTTCTTTATCACTTATAACCCACACAAATAGTAAAAGAAGATTAAATATTTACATGTAAAACTTAAAATTTTGTAAGAACAGTAATTGGCCAATCAAGTAGGGATGAAAATCTTCCCAAACTTGCCTGCTTGCAGAGATAAATTCTGAAAGAAACTTTGAGAGCATCTGCAAGTGATAACATCCATGTGAACATAGGCTCAGTGCCACTTGGTATTATCTCACTGCAGTATACCAGGTAATTATTAAATTACCTTGCTTTGTGTGCAAGATGTGTAAATGCACTTATGGCTAATACAAAATTATCATATATATATGGATAACAGCATCTTTTCTGGTTGTTTTGCAAATAGGAAAGTTTTCTGGATCCTGTCATGTAATATGCATCTTTCCACTATCAGTATTTTCTGGTATTTCTATTTTCTACTTGCAACATCTTTGTGTAACTTGAACATGCACAGCCTGCAATAGTTACTGATATTTGCAAAGCTACTACTTATTATCCTTTTAAGTGTACTTTTCACTATTTCTAACATTATGTATTATGATCATACATACGACAAGATAATGCCTATAACTGTGACAAACCTTACTTTCAATCATTTTTGGGCAGCTTTTTATACCAAGTATGTTCTTATCTCTTTGAAAACAAAACAAAACAAAAACCAAACCAAAACCAAACAAAACATCACATAGAAATAGTAGTGGTTTTTGCTAGATACATTTGCAAACACTACTCTAGACAAAATTTACTATTACTCCTTGAACTTACGTTCTTCAGAGTTCACACTAATTCTTGAAAAATATCTGCTCAAGAAAGCTATAGGTGACTTAAACCAAAATCTTTGTATGGTTCAGATTATTAAAGCTCCTGCTGCTTCCATAAGAGCGTTCAACTAATGCTGTTTTACAGGTCACAGAAATATGGAGAATGTGAAGGCTGCAGAAGACAGAGTCAGCAGCCTGAGTCAGACAGCTGGAACAATGAAGATGATGATATGCCCCACAGGATTTCCTTTCTACCTAGAAGTAACCATGCAAAAATTTCTCTTGTTTCTTTAACATTATAGGCCAGCTCCTCCCTATATATACAGCGAGAACAACATTAATCCCTTGTATATAAGCTAAGAATTTGCTCCTAGTGTCTCAAAGACCTGGGCACTCAGGACACAATTTTTACCACTGATATGTGTGAAGGCCGTCAAACCTTTGCAACATCCACAAGGTGGCCTAGATCAAGGTCTCTCCAACCCTTTTGGAGAGCTGCTATAAGGAAGAAACAGGAGTCTGAATGTAGGTAACTGAACCCAGGTGTGGTGGCTCTCCTGGTCATCACCCACTTGTCACTTCTCTGAGCACTTCTGCTTTGGAAATCCGGCTTCAAAAGGAGAAGCAACTTTTTCTTTTTATTTGTTGTGGGGATTTTTGTGTCTTTTTTTTTTTTTAATTTTTAAAAAATGTCTTATATCATGTTCTTCCCCAGAGGAAAATCTCTGAATACCTTGGTTATAGCCAATTAGGTGTGCAAACTAAGCAATGAAGAGGAAGAGAAAGTTGTTGAATTAATTTGAGCAACATCATGACATTTCTTCAAATAATGCACTATTGTATAGTGCAAAGACATGACACTTTGGCTCAGTGGCTGAAAAAAAAGAATGAACATTGCAATTTGGGTCAGAAGCAAATTTGTGGGAGCTTCCCAGTACATAATTAAAAAACTGAAATTCTGTTTGTCACAAAAATAACAAAATAAAATCAGATGGATTATCCTACCGACTAGATGTAGTAGAAGGCCTTTTTCATACATGAAAAGCAATTACAAAAAAGGCTTTGAGAATTAATGGAACGCATTCCAGGAACATACTACATAATGGACCCATCACTGCATGCAATAAGTTTTTGAAATCATTCTCCTCTCTCCCTTACTGTTCCCATAAAACTCCTCAAAAAAGTAAATTAAATGATTGCACAAAACCAGAATGAAAAGGTCAAATTCTATGCCAAGACTTTGTTCCCAGAATCATCGAATTTCACTTCATATGATAAATTCAATAAAACCTCTAGAATTGATGTGCTTAAACACATACTGAAACAATTTCACAGATCAGGTGCTCAAGTTCCTCTCATATCAGAAGACAGTTTACAGAAAGAATCTGCCTAGTTGTTCCTATAGAAAATTAAGCTGCTTCTGGCCCAAACAAGAATAATTTGCGAAAGGGATCATACTGAGGGTGTTGCGGTATCTCATGGATTCTCTGAAATACAGGTCTCTCTCTGCTGCTTCTTGCTGTCCAGAAGCAATGAATTGCTGATGGTTTGTATCAGAGGTAAATGACAGTTATCTCCCTCACACTACCAACTGTACTGGCTAGCAAACAGAAAATTATAACCAATCTATCCTCTACTAACTGCGCAAAGTTTGGGGGTTTATTTCATCTGGAAGGAAGGAGAGGTGTATGGGAAATTGTGTTCTCTGTCTAGAGCAGGAATCTCTCTTTACTGGCACTCAACTAGTTAATAGAAACACACACATCTGAGAGGGTTAGAGAACAGAAAGTGAACTGAAAGTGTGGTAGAAGCTCAGACAAGTCAGGTGCAAGCTGTAGCCTAAGACAAAAGCATAACAAGCACGGGATGTGTAACAGAGATTAGTTAAGAGTAGCAATGACATGTTACAGGAAGAAAACAGAGCATTTGTCTGTCCAGCCTACAACAAACCTGTGGAACATGTCATCAGATTTTCTTTGAGACAGCTGGCATGTTATTCTTCGCCAACAGTAGCCTGTGACTTAAATTACAAATTCCATAATTCCTGTGACTCAAACCATTATTTTTTACTTAACAAGCTACTGTTTTTACACTACATTGCTCCAGTAATGTAGTGATATTTCTGGAGATATGTTTGATCTATCTTCCTAATCTTTCAAGTTTTGAATCAGAACATTTACTTCAGGGTGAACTAATTAATAAAACTGAATCCTGATTTTGGTATCAAGATAGTTCACATCTTGTTCGTGAAGGGGAGTGTGAGGTAAGATGAAAAGCACAGAAGATTCTTTCTTTCTTTAAGGAGGAAGAATTTGTAGTGTTTATTCCTAGCAGTGGGGTGTGTCAATACTAATTTTCAGGAGTGTTGGAAACATGAAGATGATCCACTGTGAAGATGTGGCAATGGTCTCATTAATCAATATAAACCTGCATTAGAATTTACAATTCTGCAGGAACAGTTTATTTAGAACAGACTGTATTTAGGAACTGTATGAGGCAATAAGTTGCAATAGTTGTATCTGCTTCCAAAATACATGAAATGTGGTGCTGGTTGTATCTATAGTGCTGACTTACTCTTCTTTTTACCTATGTGAACTTAAGTAAGCTGAAAATATTTTTTCATATTTCACTTCCACAGTGAAATGAAAATTTACTTAGTAAATTAGTAAAAAGCATGAAAATGTACTTAAGTACTGCAGCTCCCTAGTTTAAAAAACAAGATTTTGCACTGTGAACAATAACCATTAACCAACTCCTTTGGGTTTTTGTTATATAGGCAGAACCTTTGCTTCTGGAGATGAACTGATTCATCTAATTAACTTTGAACCACCACTGACTGAAGTAGGTCCAAGGACTGGCATCACAGGTCTTATTCAAGACCTTCAGTTGCGGGTTGAGAATCAAGAGGTGTTAAAGGAGTTTATGGTATGGTATAATTCCTTTTTAAGACCCGAGTGTTTAGCAGAGCTAAGAAAGTGACTTTTAGCAGCCTTCTGCATACCCCATGGAAGATCCACCTGTATATATTTACCGACTGCACTTTCTCAGAGAATTATTCCAGGCAAAATGGGGCTTCTACTCTGCTGTTTGGGTGATGGTACAGTATTTGGATCTTTCCACTCAGATCAGGCTTACGCTGTTCTATGTCCAAAGATACTGTTCACATGGAATACAAAATAAGTAATACACAAAAGTAGAGTGTGAATCACTTTTTCCTAGACTGATTTCTTTCTGTCAGCTCTGCTGAACATTTGACTAAGAAATATTCTAGAGGCTGCATTAAAGCAAGAAATCCATGTTGCTAGGCATTCACGGGTGTTAAAACACTTAGTTGATGAGAGGAAAATGTTTCACACAGTCCTACAGTGAACTATGGAACTCATTGCCACAAGATGCTGGAACTTTGTGAAATTAAAAAGAAAAAGTAACATATGTTCATAGATAATGAAAACACATAATTACATCTGATGGCATAAAAATCATGAAAAACTGTGAAACTAGGACAGCATATAAAATCTCTTGTTTCTGGATATAAATAGAGTACTCAGTTATCAGCAAATTCCCATAGAACATATTTTACAAATCTTCAACACAGTACTGAAGTTTCCTTTAAAGGATGTACTCATCACCAGTGAAATAGATTGCTACCACTTTTCCAGAATAATTACAACATTATCAATTTCTTTCACTTGCCTTTATATCTCTGACTTTCTGGGTAGAAAATCCCACAGGCTCAAGTGTATAGGATTTGGTGACTTTCTCTGAGGGCTCAAGGGCATGTATTAATTTCTATTCATTCCATTCTATTCCTGATGCAGGCATAGCGTGCTATGAGCAGAGTCATGCATCTGCACAGGAAACATGAACATCTAATAGTTTTGGAAAGAACTGGTTACTTAAAGCCAATAGATATTTTTTCTGCATAAAAGCTGTAGTAACTGATGAAGATTTGAAAGAATTATCATATGTTTCAGTCCATATACACTGTATAGTGGCATAATGTGGTGGCTGAGCATTGTACAATGCATACCAAGGAGGTAAAAGGACAAAGAAAAGTGAAAGTTACTCAAAACTGTAAATGAAATTATTTTTCCTGCTTCCAGCTACACTGCATGCTATTCCCCTGAATGTGCTATGGAATACTTTACAACCATATGATTTACACTTAACATCATTGATGCTGTCCCCTATATCCATCACTTTCTCTGTCACTGAAAATTTTTCACTGACATTCCCTACCTGTTAACAGAGCAACAGTGGGTGTTTCAGTATCTTACCAACTATGAATGCTGACATTTGGCCAAGACACTATTCCAAACATCTGTTTTACAGCAACACACAACAGGGATCTGTAATGACAGGGGCTGAGGATATGGGTTGGAAATATCACTTGAAAACCGTAGAAATTTTGTGCAGGCTGAAGAAAATACAATGCAACTGAAATTCCTTGCCTATAATTTTAGAGAAGGATGTACTGATTCTCTTCTGTAAGAAGTCTATTTTCCAGTCTTGGGTCACATAAGGCAGTAAGTTTGCTTACACTGACTCTGTAAGGGTTGTCTGTAAAGGATGTGAACAAGATGGATTGACTGTTTCTCTTTCACCTAGGCTTTAGAACATGTGAAACCAACAGATGACTGCCAAACTGGCAAGGCACCAGAAAACCAGGGTAAAAACAGATACCAAGATATTCTCCCATGTAAGTATGCACAGTAATGAGAACATACATTCAGTGAACAAGGACAGCTATAACACTGAGATATGGCAGGCAAATCCCACCACATCCTTAGTCACAGAGAGATCAGTAGTAATGAAATGCGTTTTGATTTTTCCAAAAGAGGTAGAGTTCACATAAGGATGTCTGCATTGCACAACATGTAATTTTCTGAAGTATCATCTTCCACGAGGCGGGACGTAACCTGGTAGGGGGGCAGCTGTATTGGTGTTTTCTTCCCTCTTTCTCAGAGATATCATCTATTACATTTCTGTGGGCAAGTGTAATTTGAACTATAATAGCAGTTCTTGAAACATATTTAAATGTACAGCTACATCTACTGCTTGTGACACACTGTAATTATGGAAACTACAGTGGAAATCATGGAGTTAGGTAGCTCTTGATAAGCTAAAGATTCTTTCAGAAGTATTTGAAAACATAATATCCATCCAGAGCTTTCAGCTGTTTAAGCTCTGATCTGAGTCAGAAATAAGTTTCATTGCTGGTGAGAAGTCATTTTAGAAGGAAGATTTGAATCCAAAAGCCACATGACTGCTGTTAAGGATTTCCAAAATGTAATATACTGCCCAGTGATTCACTGAGAGTTATCATGACAAAAGGAGAACACTTTCTGGACCACTGAGTCTTCCTAAATTGCAGCATCGGGACAACACATGCAAAATTTGTAGCACAGTTACCTCTACATTAGTGATAAAGTATACTTTCTCAGAATTTTCCTCTTTTATATCACCAATATCCAGTGGCAATGTTGCCATGCCATAAATTAAAATCTGTGTTGGATACATTATTTTAGATTACTACCAAATAATTCTATGGTAATTACAAGACTTGTCAGAGTGTTATGCAAGTATCTTAAGAAAAATAAAGCTGCAGTGAACCATACAATTTGTCTGTGGGAATTCCTGTTAGCAGTGATGAATATTAGTGCTACTAGCTAAATGTATCCTAAAATCCAGAGGCATACTTTGCTGCTAGAGGCTGAGTTTCCTCATCTCCTAAGTGCTAGAGATGGCAGAACTCTGTTTCACATCTACAGCTGAAATAGCAACTTTCTGTTTCTGCACAGATGATAAGACACGAGTTCCTCTGGGAGCAAAGAATGGCTACATTAATGCAAGTTACATTAGAATGACAGTTGGAGAAGAGGAACATTTCTATATCATAACCCAAGGACCTCTGCCATCCACCATGGCTGATTTCTGGCAAATGGTCTGGGAGAGTGAATCAGATGTGATTGCCATGATGACAAAAGAAGTGGAGCTAGGGCACGTCAAATGTCATCGATATTGGCCTGAACCTCTCCATGACTCCATAGACCTGGCTAACTTCCATCTCAGGCTGAACAATTACCAGATTCTGGAATACTTCATAATTAGAACAATAGAAATTATCAACAAGCAGGTAAGTTGAATGGACTAGCACTTTCATATTATTGATTATGAAATTGATTAGATATTTTACATGAGTAAATACTGTTACTATTGTTTGCTTCTTCCATAATATTTGTTTGGTATTTTTTAGGAATGTCCAGTTCTGAATAACAGGCATGAAATCAGAGTTTAATGAGATATTGCTTCTTTGTTCATTCCATAAGCAATGGATCCAACATTACATACATTTGGACAAAAATTAGTCCTTTAATAGTCACAGAGTGGTGTGTTCACTGTTTTGCATAATTGTTTACTGTTCTCATCAAATCAAATTAGTAAGGGCTGCCAGGATGGGTTCATATTCTGTAATGGTGACTGGAAGGAAAGAGGGGAGGTTTTCATCCTAGAAATTAGAACAAACGATACTTCTTTAATTCATGAAAAGACAGCAATATATAGAAAACTACAAATCTAGCAGCAAATTTTGAGAGACCTAACAAATACAGAAGCCAGGTGTAACAACATGGAAATCAGGACAACTATAAGTCCATCAGTCTTGCCTCAATATTAAGTAAAACTTTGCAAAAATTTCTGCAGTACATATTAATTAATGGAATAATTAAAAGACTCATACGTGTGCCAGACTAACTTGATGTCTTTTTCTATCAAGAGAACAATTTCTCTATATGAAGCACTCTTCACCTTATGTCGCTGAGTGTGAAGCACAGTAAAGCATTTGATCTGAGTCTCCCCAAAAGATTATGAAGATGGGAAGATGGGTCATTATATGTGATTCTTTCAATGAACATGTTATGTTTGCTATGTTTGCCTTGGACCAGTATAAAATTACTACAGAAAGCCATAGTTTCACTTCAGCAGAAATCCAGACATGCATTCAAATTCTTCTGATGGTAAAAATTTAGGTAGTTCTTTTGCGTTCAGCTTAATGTGTTTTGGCAAGCTGGCAACAAATACCCTCCCTGGACCATTCTATTAATAATACTCTTTATTTTATCTACATTATGATTATTCTTGTACACATTTCTTTAGTTTATTCAGTTTGTATATTAGGGTATCTAATCACAAATTGTTCTTTTATATGACAGCCAGAATATTATTTACCATCTTACCATTGTAGCTACCATATTATTAACCTTCTATTTGTCCAGCTTAGCTCAGTTACAAAAACAATTCTAGTAAACCGTACTGGAATGTTTTAATATAACAAATGCTTTTGGATTTCCTTTCTAACCAAAAAATAATATAACTAAATCCTTTTTGGGCAACAGAGCAACTTCAGTGTCTCATCAAAATTATATGAAGTAAATTCCCTAGATCTGTGTCTCCTGAGTGCATTTCTGAAAACCTAAAAGAAACCTTAATAGGGTCAAGTATGAAAAGCTGAAGAATTGTGCAGTAGACAAACAATTGACTAAGAATGAGGCTGAAGGAAAATTTATTGCTGGAATTCCTGGAAAACAGGTCTTAGGACTTGTAATTTATCATTCCTGGTCTTTCTCTTCCAGACAGAAGAGAAGCGCATTGTAAGTCATTTGCAGTTTACCACGTGGCCAGAGCACAATACTCCCAAACTGGCCGAGCAGCTTGTAAAATTTATTTGCTACATGAGAAAAGCTCACAGTGCAGGACCTATTGTTGCTCACTGCAGCACTGGCATTGGAAGAAGTGGAGTTTTGCTCTGTGTTGAACTTCTGCTCAGCTATATAGAAAAAGGTCTATGTGTAAGTATCAAGCAGATCATTAAGTATTACAAACTGGTACGGATGTCAACAACATGTGGGTATGTTTTAGACCAGAGTAATTGCTAGTAGAATTCATCCTAATAAAATGAAATAAACCCAGGTTTTGTTGCTGTAAGAAACAAATATAGTAACTACAAATACACAATTCATAAAAGAATTGAGTCACAGCTTCCCTGTCTGAACATGATTAAATCTTTCTTTATAACTCGCCTATCAACAAAATAACAACTGTTCTCTTCTGATATAGTTCAACATCAAACAAATAGTGAGAGATTTAAGAGATCAGCGTTTTGGCATGATCCAAACTAAGGTAAGTTCTCAATATTCAACTAGATTATGATTTTTAAAAGCCTCAATCAGTGGTACATACAAACATGCTTTGATAAATCCAGGGCTTAAAGCATAATTTTACAAAATTGTGGCCTTTGGTTGAATTTTGCTATTGCTGAGTTATCATCACCTCAGCAAGCTCTTCTTCTGCTGAGTTAAACCTTATCTTGAAATGAGTTTTCACAGAGGAAAAGGCAAGATGCAGCTAACTCAATTTAGAGTGAACAGGTGGTAAGAAGAAAAGCAAGACAAGACTAGGATAAGTTGTTCCTATAGGCAAATATTTTAGCACATGCTTCAATATATTTTTCTTCAGGATAATGATTGAGCATGTGATTAAAATTAAGAATATAGATAACCTTCACTGACTTAAATGAGACTTGAGCACATTCTTCTGCTCAAGGTCCTGCATTGAATAAGAAAGCATTCCTGAACTTTTACAAGTGATGGAACAAAAAGAACAAGGATGCTCTTAAATATCTAAGGTTTTGTATCCATGTTATGGAGATGATGATGTCATGAACAGCACTTCAGACAGTCCATTCTTCTTTGTTCAGAACTTATGTTGAATGTAACTGGGTGTTTCACACTGGTGTCTCTACATACAGGATGAGTATTTATTCTGTTATGAAGTCGTGCTGGAAGTCCTTCAGAACCTTCAAGCAATGAATTCCTACTGACTGCAGTATGGCTCCTCTCTGTTGCTATTCCACTTTCCAGGGGCTACTCAGCAATTGTTTTAAAGAGATGTCAAGCCAGAACAGACAAGTGTTAAATGTTTCGTTAGATTACTGTGATTTCTAAGGCATTTCAAAACCTTGGTTACCATGTCCCGGGTAAGTAATTTAAATCTTGGCTCACATTTGGAGAAACAGCCAGCCAGCACTGCAACACTATGGTTAAATTGCAATGGACAACTTCTGTGTTCCATGTAATAGCATATTAATAGTTAGGAAAATATTTTGGGATGGTGACAAGGAGATAGCAGCCTTTTGAATTAGTTTTGCTGTCCAGAGGGCAACTATAAAGATCTAAGACTCTGTTGGTGTTGGTGGAAGATTAGTTGTCCCTTACATACTGTTGTGCATTCTTGAATTTTGGACTGAAAATCAGCATTTTCTACAGTAGTTATGCTTTTGTGTGGAAATACTCAATTTGTTTACCTTTCATTGCTTGAACAATGTAGAACCATTAGCAGTCATCACTCCAGCCCAGAAACCACCATCACTGGACGTCTTAAAGCAAGAAACTGACAGAAAATAAGATGCCTTTAAATCCTAGTTGGTTCTCTTCAAAGCGGGCATAGTGTTCCAATAATTGGATGGAATATTAATTTTTCCCAGTAATATGAACAGCTGTAGATAGCACCAGTATTCTTTCATTCTGCATCCATGTTAAAAGGAATGCAATACTAATCCAGATGAAATGGCTGTGTGTGCATTGTGGCACACATATACATTTCATCTTCCCCTGATCCTTTCTATTGATTAACTAGAAATTCTTACCTAGGATCTGAACCAATCTATGCGAAGTTCCACTTGTTTCAGTAGGGGCTGAATCAGATCTTTAAATTACAGTAAATAAGTCTCTGTACAGTTTATTTCTCTTGCATAAAGCATTTCTGTTAGTGTGAGTTTGAGTGGATTTAAGCAGAAATCTGCTGTTTAAATTTGAATATTGTACCTGTTTCTATAGTACTACCTCTAAGTCCTTTATCTAGAAGGTGATATATATGCAAGTGTACTCTTTTAAACATGGGAAATTATAACAGCATTTATTTAACTGAACTGTACATATTTTTGAAACCTCTTTGATTTCAGGAAAAGAAAAAATATTAAAGGGAATTTGAAAATAAAACTGCAGTAGAAACAATATATAAAATAGCATTTTATTTTCATGATGAATGAGAGGTTTATGGTTCAGAAAGAACAAGGAATAAAATATGAATTAGTGGGGTGACTTTTAGAAAAAGCCACTGTAGTACTATTATGATAAGGACAAGAGCCATTTTTTCCTTTCTCCCCTCACATAGTGTCCTGGAAGTCAGTGAACAGTAGAAATGAAATTAATTATGTGAGCCAGATGTTAATTTCAAACGTATTGATAGAGATCCAGAGTAGATCAGTGGAGTTACCCTATACTTATATTGGTATAAACATAAACAGAATTCAATGTTTTGAATTACATTCATTAAATTGAGCCTTCCCAGAAGCACTACCCTCCACACATTCTGCATTTACTATCTTTATGTTACATAAAAAAGACAATTTCCACCGATTTGTCGAGTCAAAACTTTTGTTCGTAACTTTGTTACCTTCATTTGGTCTTTGGCCCTTCACATTGATTTTAATTACTGCACACGTACTCCTATGCAATGAATGCACTACACTGCACATGAATGCACAATTCACTTTGTGTACCACAACTTTAAAAATATTCTTAGTGAAAATATTCCTGTACTTTATGCAAAGGTGTTTTTTCTGTGGTTTAGAACAAACATTCTGCATTTAGAAGACAATTTTCATGGCATTATTTGTTCCTTTGCATTCGTGCATCATTTTTGCAGCTGCTCGGCAGAAGTATTTGTTGTTTGACAGTTTTTCCTGTTTTACAGGGATATTAAAAAGATTTCTGAAAACACCAAATTGCGTTTCATTTCTACTTCTTTTCATGATCAGTTCAGTACTAGTGCTGCTCATGAACTCCACCGCTTACCGTCAGCCTAGACAACAGACAAATTTTGAGGAGGGAAGGACTGAAAAGACACAGCTTCTTCCTACAACAGTCAGCATGTTTGGTGAAATAAACAGTGAGTCAACACCAGAAAGTGCTTAGCAGATGTGGCTGCTGTACATGCTCTCTTGGAGATGCTAAGGACTCATCTGTTCTCAGCTTCCTCTTTAAAGGTAGGATTCAGGGATTCAACCTCCAGCTCTGCTGAAGACTTTCTGAGTAAGCCAAACCACTTAAAAACAGGATTCTCACACCTCACAGGTTTCTTCTTTTACACTGCACTATTGAGCTAGGCTCATGTCCTTTATGGATGGGGCCACTGAGCTCTAAGTGTAGATGAACTGAGAACAGTTAGAAGACTGTTCAGCATTTAAGTATAGGGGATCTGGCTACAACCAGCAGCTCACACATCATTTCGCCTCATACACAGCACAAATGAGAGTCCCACTTCTTTGTTCTTCATTCACGCAAAACTCCCATGGTGATCAAAGCTCATTGATACGCATTCATTTGGAACAAGAGATAACCCACCCCTTAAAAAGCTCACACTACTTGAAAAGTCAGGCTAAACTGGGAAGAAAGGAAGAACTACTGCTCCATTTTGGCCATAGGGAAGTGAGGCAGGGGTTGGTGATTTTTCCAAAGTCTACAAAGTTTTTTGGAAATTTGGGAACTAAACTCAGATGAGATAAGCTCTGATTCTGTGCCTACACAGAGACGTATCCTTCCTGCATACTTCCTAACATGCAAGACATGTATTATGGTACAGGACTCCAGTCTATGCCTGTGGTCACCCTGCTTACTTCAGAAGTGACACTGTCACCACTAATTGCATTTCTAAATAATGTTACTCTACCACCTAATCACTAATCAGGACAAGCTGCAGTACAAAAGCAAACAAACAGGACCCATTAGTTGGAGGCAGTGCCTGCTGTAACAAGCACTCTAGATAAGTAAACATCTGCTAGTCCTCAGATGCACACTGTAGTGCAAAACCTTGTCAGTTATACTCTATGTTCAGACAGTAGCTCTGCCCAATGAACAGCACATATCATCTTACTCTGCAGAAGCAACTCTCACCACCATTGAGACTGCTGCTAGGTTTTTTACATCTAACATTGTATCTCAATTTAAAAGCAAGCATAGCAAGGACAACCATCTCATAGCCATTAAATTACAAAATCATGTGTCAGTATGGGGAAACTAGTGTCCTCATTCTTCATTAAGTTTCATGGACTCAGGACTGCATCATGCTGATGATGGCTCTGTGCACTCTAATTCTCCATCTATAATGGCAAGATACCTTAAAATATTCACACATGCCAATATGGGTGCTATTGGCTGCAAGAGCATTGTCAGGTGAATAAATTACTTTTAAAAGTACTTGTATTTTTACAAATTGTACAAATATAATCCTGTTTCCTTCTAATTTTCTTAGAAAGCCTGAGAGACGAGTCAGTAACTTTTCTCCAGCTGGCTTTTTGGTTGGAGTTTATGGCCTTACTGAACAACAGAATCTTCTGTGATGCAACAAATACAGAAAATGCAAATACCGCTAGCGTTGCAAAAGAACAGCAGAGACTGCCATCTACGGGCAAATCACTACTGAGACTGCATTAATTGTAATTAGTCGCTCATGCGGGTGGCACAGAACCACTCTATGAAATTTCACCGAGGTTTGCTCAAAAGCGTTTCCAAAACAGGCTTGGCAAGCTGCACTGACCTTGCTCCTGTCTGGCAAGTGCCTGCCTGGCCAGGCAGCTGCTGCACGCTGCTGACGACTGTATAGCTGCACTGCTGCTGGTCCTGCAGAACCTAAACTAATGATAATGAAGTACTCAGCCACAGGAAAGGCTACTTAGATATCTGACAGGATCTGTCCAAATCTGATGAGAGCCTATCTTATGAATAAACTTGCTCTTGACCTTAAAGCAGGGGTGCTTTTGGAATGAAGCACTTTCTTCATTTACTGAA